TTGAAGGATTCTAACTTGAGCTTCGGAGCCTCCACATCGGGTTCTCCCCGGAGCTTCCTCATCTTCTCCGTTTCAGGTTCCCCGCAATTCCATTCAGAGGCAAGGTCATTGACGGCTAAGACCGGCCGGATTACGCACCATCAGATATGATTTGAATTTTACAAATTACATTTGATTAATGATTGTGTCATGTTCGAATTTGACTCCATCTCATCTAATTAAAATCCAAATTCAATTATATTATAATATTTATTGATTTTAATAATATAAAATTTATAAAAAATGTATATTGTATATCTTATATTATATATGAATATATAATAAACTTAGTGTGTTATATTTATATTAATTTATTATATAAACATTAAAAAAATATTTACCCTTTTATTTGTTTATATTTTTAAATTTTGAAACATAATCAAATTAAATCCAAATCCTATCCGAGTCCATTCGGATTCAAATTCAAATGCAACGTCTTCAAATCTGATTGGATTTTGGACATAAGGTTTCAATAATCAAATCGAATTCGAATCCTACTAATTTCGACTCGACTACAACCTTACACTCGAGTTTGGTGTTATCTGTCACACAAGATACCACTACTCTTCATAACTAAACAGACCATAATCAAAAGGGCAAATTGCATATTAGTATCATGTACTCTTGACCTAGTCTCATGTTGATACCCCAAATTTCAAAACATGCCAATCCAATACTTGAACTACCAAAAATGTCCCAGTTTAGTCCAAAATTGCCAACTGCCATTAAGGGGCATGTGAAAAGATGTAAATGCCATTTGGGTGTCATGCAATTTTATTTAATTTTATTTAGGGCAAATTTCTTAAACTACCCCTATTGTTTAGCTAATTGATAAATTCTACACTTACTATTTACATATTGTCTTAAAGTACCCATATTGTTTATGACAATTGATATTGCCGTTAAGCACTAATGGAAGACAACCAAATGTCAAATTTACCCTCTACTATTTCTCAAATTTTCAAAATAAAATCCATCTGATGAACAATTTGAGGAAGCTGAGGAAGCGACACAAGCTCACGTGGCGACCTCTGTCTGCACCTCTACAACTCAGGTTGCAACTCAACAATTTTGCAACTTTTCATGATATACTCATTGCAACTCTTCAAGTGAGGTCGTTATTTGAGTCTGGTTTTCGTTTTTTTTTTTTGAGAAGAAAATAACCCATTTGGGAAGAAAACAACATTTTGATTTTTAGAATTTTAACTAGAGAAAAAAAAAACAGGAAACATTAAACACGATTCCTTCTCCATTCTCCCATGTTTCTGTTTGATATTAAAAACAATAAAAAAAATTTAACCGTTTTAAGAAGAAAATAGAAGAAGAGGTTAACAACTTCCTTATTACAAAGCACTCCTTCCATCTACCACCTTCATCTCCTCCGCCCATGTCACCTAGAATGTAGGGGAGAGAATAAGTTAAAGCTGAAATTTTTTTCTCCAGCCTTTTTTTTGTAAACTGGTTCGAAAGAGTTTGACACTACATCTGGTTTGAGGGGGGCATGAATATGGAGTTTTCTTCCACTAAATTTGACAACGAATGGATTGTGCAAGGAGAAAAAAGGAGCAACAATTTGAGGGATTCACCTGGTTCAAATTTCTCCGATATGTCTTTGGTACTGCTTCTATGACCTTTTTTCTATTCACTGGTTTATCAGGAGAGAGAGTAGAATCTCAAACCGGATATTCCACAAAGAAGCAACGACACCAGTGAGAGATAGAGCAAATGGAAAAATGGAGAAGAGAGACGTTAGAGTGAGAGGAGTTTTACTTCGATGRTAGAAACGGGTAAGTTTTACATCAATAATTATGATGTATTTTTAAATTATAAAAATGTATATTTTGTTGCATTAAATCACTAAGTAGTCATTGATATTTGAGGCTTACGCCTTTTTACACTTCAAGCTATGCCTCAGGCCTTAAGGTGCTTGAGGCTTATGCCTCATTTTGACAAAGGCTTAAAGCCTTACATCAATGTTGTGAGGCTTAAGCCTCGAGGCAACATTTGTGCACCTCGCCTTAAGGCGTACGCTTCAAGGCTTAAGCCTTTTAAAACAATGTTTTCAATGTATTTCTTCAATACACCCATCTTGTGAAGTTGTCTAATCTCATTAGCCCCACCAATGTATCTACCGTCGATGAAAACCTTCGGTAAAGTTGACGACTTCTTGTGACCTAGGATCCTCTACAACTCCTCCAAGAAGCCAACATCCATGGATAGATCTTTCTCCTTGATGGAAACACAAAAGCCTCTCAGTATGGATCTTACGGCTTGGCAGTCCTCAAAGGTCTTTTAGATGACACAAAGGCATGTGAAGTAGACAATAATGCATTTATCCGCATTAACGAGATGAATGGGCAGCTCCAATGAAGGGAGTAGTAGTAGGGGGAGGAGGTTGGACAGGGAGGGAAGGGAGGCCCAAGTTCAGAGGATGGAAGTAAAGATATAGACATAATGGAAAAATGGAGGCTTTTTTTTTTTTTTTTTTTTTAATTTTGAGTGAGGATGGTTAGGTTCTTTTTTGCAAAGTTGTCAAATGTCCTTGAATGAAGAACAAGAGAAATTGGATGAGGTATGTGTATCAATCCGAGTTGTTGAATGTTCTTGTAGAGTTAGAGAAAATGGTAGTATTATCATTTTCTTAAAATATAACAGTCACGTRGTGCGATATGTGAGTAGATTGTGACAGAACCCTAACGATTGAGGAATAATTAGTTAATTATGAGAAACAATAGGGATACTTTAAGATAATATATAAACAATAAGAGTAGAATTTGTCAATGAACTAAATTATTAGGATAGTTTAATAAATTTGACCTTTTATTTATCAACCATCTAAATGCCCAAATCCAAATGTCTTTCCAATTGTTCATCATTGCTTTGATTCAATTTTGATTGTTGAGGAAGAATATGATAAACATAAGGATAATTTTGATATTTTCAAAAGTTTTAAATCGTACATACAAAATAGTTGATGGGTTATTAATGACAAGGACTAATCTAAAACGTTTTGGGAGTTTTAGGCATTAGCTTGGCATGTTTTAAAATTCGGGTAAGAAAGTGAGATAGGCCCAAAATAAAGGGTATTAATATGTAATTTACCCTGTTCAAAACCCTAGATATAAATTGTTCTGACCGATGCTCTCTACTCCGTTTGCATCCTCTAAAAACCCTAAAAACAGTCTCGCAAGCCCCCATTTGCATTGTCGAGCTGCTATATTTCTGCAGATCTTAAGCTTCCAAGTAATCTCTCTCTCTCTCTCTCTCTGTTTCTCTCTCTGTATTGGCACTAACTATCCACTTTCGGTTCTATTGAGCAGAAATGAAGATTGTCGCCGCGTATCTGTTGGCCGTGTTGGGAGGAAAAATCGCCCCTTCTGCCGATGACTTGAAGGACATCCTTGGATCAGGTACTCCTCTGTTTCCTATCTCTTTCCCTCGTCGCAATTAAGGATTTCTTGTGATGGAACTTAGTGCTCCTTTCTTATAGCACAGATTACACTGTTATTCGACTAATAATGCACAAGGCCTTCTAGTTTGTAGTTTGCACTGTTCTGGATTATTATACAGTGTTTTAAGCATGGTTGTTGTTGTAAAWKYTTAAACAAGATTTATGCCGTTGTAATTATTCTGTTATCTTTATGCTGATTCTTGCCACATTTCAACCCGTATTTGTTATTTGCGATGATGATTTTGGGGCTCTGGAACCTAATTGGGTATTATTTTGATTTTGTGGTTTTGGCGTTTCGGCTATTATGGTTGGTTTCAATTTGGTAGTTGCTCATTTTATGATTCTTTCAATGTAAATTAAACATGTTTTGGTGGTGCCAATATATTTATTTGATTTGTTGGGTTGAGCTTTGTTTTTTTTTTTTTTTTTTTTTTGGGTGGGGAGGGATTGATTTCGGGCATACATTTGGGATGACCTTGATGGTTACTAGAAACAACATCGTCATCGTGACAGAAAATTTGTAGAGAGTTCCCTCTGCATCTCTGTCATGATTGCATTCTAAATTACTGTGTATTTGGAGTCTATTTTATATAAGAATTCATGGTTCGGTGTATGACTTTAATGGCATGGAATCTAGATCCATATCTTTTTGAACAAAGTATATGGGGAAAACTCACAACTGAGCCTGTAGTGTTCACTGCTGCCTAATTTTATTTTTAGAATGTTGCTACAGTAACATTGTTATGGGACTTGAGGGTTATTTTTATTCTGCTCAATGCTAAAACTAGATTCAGAGCTCCAATCAACATGCTCTATAAGATAATCATTTACTTGGTTGTAAACTTTTAAGGCCCTGTTTGGTTTGTGTGAATAGGGGTCTGGAATCGGAATTGGAATGGGCTATTCTGATTCCAACTGTTTGGTTGTGCATTTGAGGGAATGGCTATTCCCTGCCCCTCCCTTGGGAATGAAATCTCATTCCTGCTGATTTCAATTCCCATTCTCATTCCTGTCTGAACCAAACAGACTATGGGAATGGACATTCCGATTCCAAAGGATTTCAATTCCAATTCAAATTCTGATTCTGGCTGCAAACCAAGCRGACCCTAAATCTAGATTCTGCATAATGCTAAAAACTTTTAGTCATCGGATGAAGTGGCTGGAGTGAATGGCTTATTGCTTTGAGGGTATTGTCATGAACCCAACTAAAGACAAACGAATGAATGTTGTCATGAACTAACTTCAGCTTCGGCCATTAAGGATCATACAACTTCCTCGATAACTTGTTCACTAAAGGACAAACCAATGAGTCATTCAGTTCATCTGCTTAAGGTTCTATCAAATGGCTTATTAGGCCCCCTTCCCCGGGGCCTATATGAATATCTATGCTCAGTTGATTTATGCTGATAACTGTTTGTCTAGTGGTTCTTTGATCCTCTCAACTCACTGTCTTTGCTGAATTGTGGCTTGGAAGCAATGAGCGAGACTCATTCAGTTTAGCTGCTTAAGCTGTTATCAAATGGCGTCTTAGGCCCCCTTCCCCAAGGCGTAATACGAATATCTAGGCTCAGAGTTGATTTTATGTTGATATGTGTTTGTCTAGAGGTTCTTTGATCCTCTCAGCATCTCACCGTCTTGGCTGAGTTGTGTCTTGGAAACAATAAAACTTTAATTCTGACTTGTGAGTACTGATATGAACTTGTCATTTTGTATGTTTACGTAGAGGCCCCTTGCAGTCTTGGCTGTGGCATCTTTGGGACTAGTTTCCACTTTCCTGGACCTTTTTTCTCTCTAGTTTATTGAGCATTTCCTTCCTTTGTGAAACTTGTGTGTGGAAACTGTTGTTTGATTTGCAGTTGGGGCTGAAGCCGATGATGATAGGATTGAGCTACTCCTTTCTGAAGTTAAGGGCAAGGATATTACAGAGCTTATTGCATCTGGAAGAGAAAAATTGGCTTCAGTGCCTTCTGGTGGTGGTGCTGCCATTGCTGTAGCTGCAGGTGGTGGTGTAGCTGCAGCAGCCGCACCAGCTGCAGCTGAACCAAAGAAAGAGGAGAAAGTGGAAGAGAAGGAGGAGTCTGATGATGTAAGTTTTATTATATGAAATGAATAATGGTCTTATTATTCCTAGAGATTTTGCTTTTCTTCCCAACTCACTGGCTCTTCCTCCCTCTCCAATTTATTATATTTTCTTTTAGATTTTTTTTTTTGTTTTTTCATGATCTAACAACTCTTATATTTTATTAAACTCCTTGCAGGACATGGGCTTTAGTCTTTTCGACTAAGAGACTTGGCTGCTTCTTTCTTGTACCAAACTTTTTCCTCTTATTTAGAGTTTTGGTTAAATGCTAAAGTTTTTGGTCTGCAGAGTCGATGTAGTTCTTGATCTTGTCAAGACTTGGGGGGGGGGGTGTTCTTTTGGTCTAGTTAAAATAGATGAGAGTGAGTGCAAATATGGTCTGATTGATAATATTCAGTAATTTTTGAGTTAATTTACTAGAATCCAATTATGGATCCTATGACTTGTGATGGTAGTTTTAATGAATGAACGCTGTGATAGTCGTGATCTGCCCAACTTTTTTGTTCTGAACTTGTCCACTTGCATACATTCGTTTTGTGACAGCTACCCCATTACAGACACGTCTCATATGAGACGGGACATCCTAAATGCAGGTGCACAATCACAACACGTTCAGCGCAAACAGGTGCAGCAGATATGTGAGTTCAGACTAAAAGATACACATGCAATCCATGAAATGTTGAGGCTGCACATTTGCTTTTGAATCATTTGGCCAATCAATAAATTAACAGCCTTCATTTCAACTGACAAGATGCCACCAGTGCCATGTTTCTTATGTAGGTACTCTGTTGCTAGATGAACCCTCTTTATCATCCTTCTCTACTTAACCAACACATTTTATATATCCTCGGCTCTTCTAGTCCGTTAATCAGTCGCTTCTTACAATTGTTGTATCTGATTTTATCACTTGTCACCGTGCAAAGTTCAAAGGACTAAAGTTTTCCTGGAGCATGTATGGCTAATGGGGCACAATTAGGTTTAGGTATGATTGTTTAGTTATAATGAATACATTGAATGGTAATGGTTATAATGTAGGAGCGATCATTTTCAGTCCAGCATGGAAACTCTCAAGGCATAGGCCTATGTTTCGTTTTCAGGCCCGGCCAGCCAGTACATATTTATATTTTGTATTATTCATCATATTTATGTTATATATAAATATTATATAATAACGCATAAAATAAAAATAATGCACTTATTATATGACACATAACATAAAAAATATTATATACATTTAACAAACTATACACAAGCTATAGGCATAGAATCAGTCCTTGCCTGGCCCAGGCTATAGCCCTAAAGGCTGGTGCAGTCCTGGCGTATGACCACTCCTATCTTATATAATGTTATTTCCCATGTTCAAGGCTTCAAGCTTTCAAGGAAACTTTGTATTTGCATTTAAAAGTTGGTTCTCTGCTGAAGTATTGGAAAAAAGATATTCACAAAATCTGATTATCAATTTAATGATTCAACCATAATCATTTTTATTCGCCCCACTCCAAACGAACACTTCGATTATTAAATTTGACAGAAGAAAAATGTCAATGGACAGCTAAACAGTAAACCACTCGCTAAAGATGTCGCATAGGTACACAAAGAAAATCCTACAAGCTCAAACAACATCTTGGTGTCACCCAACATCCGTAGACCTCTTCAGCTCTTTCAAACTCCCTGCATCTTTCCAGTATGTTTCGAAATTCCCTTTGGTTAATAGCTCTGAAATTGTAAATGAAACTATAAAAGCAAAATAGAGCTCATAGAGGGAAACGAAGACCACCCATTTCTTCTTTCTTTCCTCTCCAGCTAGATCATGTTCAGTTCAATTAGGCTTGCGAGCCCCATGAGTCGAGTTTTATTGGACTCGAACTTGACTTGACTTGACTAGCAAATGAACCCATATATTGGGCTTGAGCTCGGCTCGAAGCTCGATTTAAATTGAGTTGAGCCGAGGTCGAGTAACTCGTGAGAAGTTTGACTCGTGGCCACCTCTATTGGCAAGCCAACCTTGGTGGTCCCAACTGCCTATTCAACGAAAAACCCCTCTTTGAAGAAGATAAGGGGAAAATGTTTAAAAGGGTAATTTGGGTATTTTAAAAATTAAAGCCACATACTGTATACATGATCAATTTCCATCCATTTTTTATGATGCAAGGCTGATGGAGGTATTTGTAACTTACATATTTATAAATTATTAATACAAGTTATATTGATTTTCTAAGAATTAAGATATACTCGTATACATGCATATTTTAGTATTCTATCATTTTTCAATGTTTATTGTAAAATGATAGTTCACAATTCACATAAACCATTAAGCTGTGTTTCGTTTGAAAGAAAGGTAGTCATCTCAAACTTATATTTAGTGTCATTGACACATTTTTGGAAACTTGTTTGGATTTTCCTAGCATATTCGTACATATCATAATTTTCCACCGTATACAAAATATATCAAGACACATCTGTTAAAATTGCTTTTCTGAACTCTTTGCGTTTCCAATACCCTGAATCATTTACCAACACCCCCCACCCAAAAGAAAAAAAGAAAAACTGAGGAACATTACAAAATTAGGTGCTGACATTTCAAACATAAAGTATTTATGTAATGAAAAAAAACTTAACGCAGAACACAAAATTGACAACAAGAACATCAAATGTTTTACACTACCGCTGAAAGAAGATAGAGGGAAAAGTCAATGGGTTTCTACAATCAATTCACAATAAACTAGAAATATCAAGTCTAGATGATGAAGCATTGCGTATGCACACAGCACACTAGAACTCTCAAGCCTTGCATGCTTTAGATGGGAGAATTCTCAGATCTTACATGCAAATGAAAGACCTTCCTGTGCCAGTTGATCCAGACTTTCAATGAAGGGCTGGAGCCTTGCAATTTTGGCAATAGCCTTATTCTCATCTGGTGTCCCATTTTCTAGGAATATCCCTACTACCTTCTTGTCCTTGATCCAATATGATCCAAACTTTGGCTTGGGGGATTCTGGATCACTGTCTCCAAATAACACTGTCTCACCAACATTGTCTCCATAGAACTGCCATGACAGATCAAAGGCACGGGAATAGAAATATGGAAGGTAGTCATACTCATCAATAGTCTTTCCTTCCTCACTAGCCTTGATAGCCTGCAAGGATGAGAAACCAAAGGACATATTATTTCAGGTCAATCACTATGCATGAAGAAGGGTGATGGACACAAGATAGATTATATCAAGAAATTAAAGCATTGGATTGCAGAAACTTACCTTCACAGTCTGCTCTGCTGATTTCCTAGCATGATCAACATGCTCTACCCTCCTCATCTCATTGTACAACTTCATAGGGAAGGTAGCAACATCGCCTACAGCGTAAACATCAGGAACACTTGTTCTGAAGAGCCCATCAGTCTGTAAATAGGCCACATCATGAACTACATTTTTCAGAAGACCTGATAAAAACTATGCTACTCAGGCAAATGGAAGATGATCAATTCACCCTGGCACATCAATCTCTCAATGTGGATAAGGCATATATATTTACTGTTATCATTTTCCAGGCAAGCTCGAACTTGTGCAAAGAAAATATTTCCTTTTGATAAAGTATAGAAGTTTCAAGAGCTAGAATTGAGAAGATTTAGTTCATCTATCTAGCTATCTGAGGGTGGGCCTTGGCACAATGGTTGGATTGCTCCATTGTGACCTGGGTGACAAGGGTTCAGATCTTGAAAAAAGCCATTCTGGGTATCTGCAGGGGTAAGGCTGTAACTCGTGCACTGGGCTGACTTTTATCATTATCTATCTCTTTATAGTTAGATCATAAATTGTTTACCAAAGAGGACTGAACAGAGGAAGGAAATCTTCCACATGCCAAATTGGTTTGGGGCTCAAAATGGCCCCACAAGGTTCTTACACTATCCTTTATTGATGAACCAAATTCAACCTAAGAACCAGTAAGTAGTTGACAGTTTTCCAAACTATGAGTTGGAGAACACAAAGATAAAGAGGACGAATTATATTACACAAAGGAAAATGGTAGAGAGGACTTTATGGAATACTATTTTTTCTTTGGTAGGAATTATGGCATACTGTAAATTAAAGAGGTATCTAAGAACTAGCTAACCTTAATTCCACCTTTTTCTTCTTCAACCTGGCCTTTGAATAGTGTTATAAGTGGTTTTACACCAACACCAACAACAACAATGTCAGCTTCCAACACTCTCCCATCCTTCAATTTTACTGCCTTGACCTAAACAACAAGTAAAAGTATTCATCATATAAAGCATTATATAGATTATTCAAATTTGAATAAAAATAGACAGCTGGTGCCCTTGCAAACTTACCTCTCCATTTGCATCAGAATCAAAACTAGCTGCAACTGTTCCCTTCACAATTTTGATTCCTTTTTTGGCATAATAGCCCTCATAAAAAGCAGCAAGACCAGCAGTAAAAAGTCGGGGCACTGCAATAACATGGCATTAATTAAGAAGATACAAGACCCTTGTGTGAATACAGAACATAATGGTGCAACATAAGGAGTTCAATTCATTTATATCACGTTTTAACTTTAAGAACTAAAAGACAACTATCACCCAGGTCACGTTTTAACATAAGGAGTTCAATTCATTTATAAGGAGTTCAATTCATTTATATCTTTAATTCCTTGGCAAAGTCTAAAAGACAACTATCACTTACTACACCATGGTTCCGGATACACCATTGTCACATCAATGTTATTGATTTTCATCACAGCACTAAGTTCAAGACCAATGTATCCTCCTCCAACAATCACAGCCTTCCCATTTTTCTTTACTTTAATTGCTTCTACAAGCTTGTCAGCATCCTCAATTTCTCTTAAATAGAAGATGTTCTTGGAATCAGCTCCTTGAACACCAAAATCAGTCAACCTTATGACCTGAAAAGGAACAATAAGAAATTGATATGCATGAAGAAAAGAACAAAATTATGGGCACTCCTAAATAAGTCTTAATACCTAGAAAATGAAAAATGATGGATAAAGCATGCCAATCAAACACTTGATACATACTGCTGAACCAGTTGCAATAATCAAATTATCATATTTAAAGGTTGCTCCAGATGCACTTGTGAGAGTCTTGGAAGCAAGATCTGCTTTCACTATTTCAGTKCTAAGAATCAACTCAATGCCTGCAACAACATGATTAGGCATTCCATATTAATAGAACCTATGTGATTTTCTAAATTACAGGTTCTTGTTTAGAAATAAAAGCGATAGGTTTGTAATATCAAAGCGCCATTGGCATCGATAAGATATACACATTTAATCTAATAAAAAAGATATAAGCATTTAATCAAAGTTCAGACAATCTATTAGACCTAACAAGTAAAATCTTGACATAAATACTAATAAATTACCTTTTTCAGTGTACCATTCAGGAGGAAGCCTCTCGCCACCACTTCCAACACAGACATGAAACCCTGGGAGTTTTGCAGCTCCTGCAATATCTGACTATTAAAAGTTGCTAAACTGAAGAGATTGGTAAACAATAAAGAAAAGGAGATGTTGCAAAATCCGGTTAAGTCTAACCTAAGATGGAAGGCATGTTTTTCTTTTTTTTTTTATCATTCTAAGATGGAAGACATATATATACATAATGAAAAAGTAATTAAATATCATGTTTTATAGACCACAACTTCAAAAACCCGTAATTGGCGGTGCACAAAGAATACCACTTTAATCTGAAAACAAGAATTATGTTCAAATAACTTTACAAAATGGAATAAAAAACAACTGTAAGGCACAAAACATTTATTTTTTKATATACGAAACTTGATATCCACTTTATAAAGAGCTAATATGGCGTGTCTAATAGTTGACACATACAACTTGATCAGTTGATCCTGCATTAGACTACAGGAATGCAATCAGTTTTAAGTTTTTGAATAGCCTTGAGAACTTTGGTACTGCACTCCGCTTATTTTATCTGTATTGAATGCATAACCTACCCTCAGGAAAAAGGTAACCCTTACTAAGTGCTGGGCGTTCATAAGGAGCCACCTGGAGTGAAAGAAAAACAAGTATATTAGCTAGAGTATGAAGAAACTGACAGCCTTGTGATGTACTACTCACAGAGTACAATCTAGGTGATAGTTATTCTGTATAACAAACTAAAATTAACAATATATCCTTCAATTAGCAGACCATGTCTCTTTGGGGAGTGTTAATGTCATTTTAACTCTGTAATCACTGTATCTAGCACAGTAGAATAAATCTTGTAAGGAGATACAAGCATCCTCTGCTACCTTTGTTTTGAAAAGTGAATGATAAACCATTTAACATACATGAACCAAAAGGATAATCATGATGAACAAGAAAACACAGTATCTTGTAAGGACATACTCCTGTAGGTGCAATTTTTTTTTTTTTTTTGTTATTGTTTTTCAAACATTTTTTGTATTCCCAGAAGTAGTATACTGAGCAGGCAAGGGGCTTCACACATTTTATTTGATACAAAATTCTCTTACTTGACAAGATCTCTTTCCCATATCCCACGTAATAACCAACATATGACCGAACTTTGATAATCCAATATTCTCACCTAAAATTGCACAAAATAAAAGATTCTCTTCTAAGAATGTCAGAAATGAAATTCCGAGAAAAATGAGAATAAACATACAACGTACCGCCTCTTTGGAGATAATTGCCAGCTCTCCAGGTTTAACACCCTGTTTACCAAACTCCCTCGCAGCATATCCCTGTAAAGGCATAATTAAGTGTTTTTAGACAAACACCGGGGAAAGAATATACCAATAACGGAACCTATTTCTTCTTTCTACACAAACACTGTAACTTAAGAGCTACCTGCAACAGATTCCTGTGATCATTAGATAGGAGAATTACAATTCTGATAGCTATGCAAGCTTCAGAAACAAGATGCATTTTACTTTTGCTCCATAAAAGCCATCTTAATTAACAGTGTCTTCTTAAATTCTGAAAAAATGCTCCTACGCGGCAACTCCAACATATTAAAGAATTCTAGAAACTTAAATTATAACGTAGGTGTTCTAGTATGGTATTCCGTATTCTATCTTCAGCAAACTATGCAAGACCAGACAGAATAACGGGATTGAATAAAGACAAAAAAAAGATCTACTAATACCAAAATTACAATAAAACATTCAATCTAATACCGACTTTTAGTCGAAAATCTGATTTCCATAGAAAATCGCAATCAGAAATGACAAACAAATATCAACAAACAACCACAATTCAAAAAAAAAAAAAAAAACGCTCAATCAAAATGAGAAATGAAGGAGAGAAGCTGCGATCGGGACTCACAGCTGCGACACCACCACCTAAGATCAAGTACTTGGAATACTTTTCCGCCATGGATCAACTGAGAATAATCTGTAAATTGCAAAAGGCAAAAATAAACGAACGTCTTCTCTATAGTCAGTGCGCGCGTTAAGCGTCGCCCGATGAGCTCCTACTGTAATTTTTGTGGAATGGGTCTTGTATTTATAGGGCGGGCTTTCCGTAGCTGGTTGACCGTCGATTTTTTCTAGATCAAATTGGAATTCAACGGCTATTGTACACGTAGCAGATTTCAACTGGTCAACTGTCACGACCGCTCATGAATCAGATCTCGAGATACGAAAAGTGGATTCTGTCAAGGTGCCACATCATGGAGCGATTCATACGTCGATTTAGATTAACACTCTACCCATACCCTACCTTAGTTTGTTAAGAATGAGCATTTGATACCAATCGAAGGGTTAGGCGGGTCCTTTCATGAGGGAACCTTGGTGAAGGTGACACCAGTGGATAATATTGAAAGAGGAACAAATAGTGGGATTGTTTAATTTATGGTGTGAACACGGTGTTGTCCGGGAATCAAGGGAAAAAGGGGTCCCACGCTCTCCATTATCATGTATCACTGTATCAGTACCGAATTAGCGTTTATGTATCACTGTATCAGTACCGCATTAGCGTTTATGTATCACTGTATCGTGTATCACTGGTGCGAGAATTCACACGTAGAAGGAGGTTGACGTTAGCTCCCTGCGCTGCAACTTCATTTGTCACGTGTACTGATGGAACCAACAGAAACTGATTTGTCTGAAGCGTACAATAACAAAGTCACTCCGGATCCGGTGCGTTTGGACTCGAAGGGATTTTCTCTTCGAGCCCACTAAAATTTTGACACGTTTTGGTGCTTAACTGGCGATAACCTGCAATTGGTTGAAGCTTTATGATCAATAAAAAATTGATGAAGAAATAGTGCTCGTGGTCCAATATGAGCTCTACTCCTATATGTGAGTAACACCACGACAACCACTGTGCCAATCAGTGAATTAATTCCGGCATGTGATCGTCGAATAGTATACCTGAAACCTTTGGCATCATGTCATGAACGTTCACTCCCAACCTCTCCACCTGCACCTTGAAACTCACAGTTCTGACTCTCAGTCCTGAGAACGAGAAAACCATCACCACTCCTGGCCGTACTCTATCATATTCGCGCTCGTCTCTGCTATGTCATAAGCACTTAGCATCGCTAGCGCGCTACCCAGGCTATGGCCGGTCATGTTTATGCTTAGTTCCTCATCTAGGTATTGATGCATCAGCCGCTTGACTTCGCTTAGGATCTGCTTCCGAGCCGAGTACTTAAAGAACTGACACGAAAATGTTATTGTACAATATATCGAGATATCGCTTGGTAGAATTGTTTGGATTGAAGAAGCCTAAGGGCAAGGCACCTCCTGTGGACGCTAAAATCTGGTTCTCGCTTATCATTTCCCTTGATTTAATCCCATCGTTGCCAGTGATTCAAGTTAGAAAAATCGATGAGGAAAATGAAACAATAATAGAACAGAGCACCCCTGAAAGGTTCTTTTGATATTGAGATCTTATCCATTTTTTAGTTCTTTTTATTTCATTTTGCCATTTGGCTTGCCAAAACAAGGGTAAACTACAGTTATTATTGATTGAGGGAGCAAGGTCTAAGTCTGAGAACAAAGAAGAGAACATGAGGGTTTTAGATTTTTTGTCTGTATAAAGAAGAACATTTGCATGGAAGAAGAAGAAGACAGCCTCGTATCTTGGGTTTATCTTACAAATCCAAAGTCACAACGGCAAGAAGACTATCTTCCCATTAATGGTTGGAGTTTTTTGAACAATGAATACAAGTTAATTCAAACAACAAATGTAAAATAGTACAAAAAAAAAAAAACGAAAAGAAATACTCAATAGATACAAAGGATTTCCAAACATTCATACAACATTACTATTTGCTGGAATTAAAAAGAAAATAAAAAAATAATTCTATCATCGACATTCAATAAAGAAAGATGAAAAACCCTAGACATAAATATCAGCTTTCCTCTGAATATTCTTGATGTTAGAAACTTTTCGCTAACATCGTTACTGCTACCGTTAAAATCCACAATCGTCGTGAAGGCTTGTTGTTGTTAATGGTGCAGTTGGCTGAAAGTCTCAGAACGTGAGGACTTTGGAAATTTCTGTCATATTAGTTTTAAAAAATTACCAATTTTTAACGCTTCGCTCGCTGGCTTTCGCGCTTAGGCTTTGAAGCTGGATTGGAACCAGACCTATTTAAAATTATTTTTATCACTCATAAAATTTCGGCCGATTGTAAGTAATGGTTAGTAGAACACCGAATGATGTGTCAAAACTTGAATGGAATCCTTCGAGTCCAAACGCACTGAATCCGGAGTGAGAGGAAAGCGTCACGATCATATTTATTTCGATTTTCGAGGTGTCCCAAAGCCCAATTTTCTACTAGGAAGGAGCAAACTTTATATTCCACATCAGCTGTAAGTGGATCCCACGTGTACGCAAGCGGAGTCAAAATTGGACAGGAAAGTAGCACGGACATGTGAGAGGTGGGTCAATAGGTCAACGCGTTTGGAGAATGGAGACAGCCTGAGATCAAACCTCATCGTGTTATCTGGTGTGATCCTACCATCTGGGGCCCGGAGAATCTGTCCTGTGTTACTTAAACCATTTAACCAGACGGTCCAGACGTAATCACGAGCACGGAAGACTTTGGCACGCGGGTTCTTGCGAGTTGGACCTCATATGGAATTTATAAAAGCTATGTTTGAGAAAATTTCGGAAAACTAATATTGGTGTTTTGAATACAAGAAATACAAGTATAAGTTGAAGCTACTCCAAGTAATTTATCAGGATTCTGGAACATGCGTGTTATGTGTTTAGTTTTATTGGCGTTTATTGAAAAAATGATGCTACATTAGTGTTATATGGGCGTTGGCGTTTATTGCATATGAAGCAAAATGAAACAATTATTTAGTTTTACTGTTTATCAAATAAATATTAAAAAATTGAAACTCTTTAATTTTTGTGCATGAAGCATTTAGGGAAATACCAAATTCTTGTTTACTCCAATACCCCAGCATTTCTTAAAGGGGTAATARCATATAAGGGCAACTTTTGGGGTTTAATATCAACAAAAGTAATATATTTAAAAAAATTCAAAAATGGGTTAACTTTTTAAAAATAATATCAATAAAGGGCAAAAACATTGTTCATCATCTTCTTCTTGCCATTTGTTCATCAAAGCTGCTGTCCGCCATCGCCTCCACCTCCGGCCACGTTGCCGAAGGTGGCCGAAGGCAAAGGTGACGGTGGCGGCGCTGGTGGTTTCTTTGTCCAATGCCGCCACCTCTGCCCATCTCCGCCTCCGCCTCCGCCTCCGGTAACGTTGCCAAAGATGGGTGGAGACAGAGGTGGCAGTGGTGGCAAGCAGAGGAATGACCACCAGTGCGACCGCCGCTGTCGCTACCTCCGCCTCCAGCCACCTCCGGTAACGTTGCCGGAGGTGGCGACGAGCGGCGGTGGCGGACGGTGGCTCTGATGAACAAATGGCAAGAAGAAGATGATGAACGGTATTTTTGCCCTTTATTGATATTAATTTTAAAAACTTAACCCATTTTTGAAATTCTTGTAAATATATTACTTTTATTGATATTAAACCCCCAAAGTTGCCCTTATATGCTATTACCCCTTTCTTAAAACCAAATGTTGATGTGTCACACTTTAATGGATATTAATTTGAGGTGGAGAACAAAAACGTTTAAAGTGAAGGCCAATCAAACAATAAAAACATGCAATGCTTAAAGTGAAAAAGTATAAATAAACGTTTAAAGTGAAAAAACACAAATAAATGACGACCCATAAATATAAACGGAACCAAACACCTTCTCAATCAACACAATTATCCTCCAAAACAAAAGCCCTCCCAAACGAACTCTATGTTCGCCGTAGACTCTAGGTAAATGAGTGTGAATGTGAAAGTTGAAACCATATTGGTTGAGTCTCATTCACCCTTGTGCACATGAAGATTGCCAAGACCCGATTCAATCCTCACAAAAACATGTTCTCACTTACAGTCATGCATTTAAAACATTTTCATGCTTATATTCTTTCATTCATGGAGAGATGCTCCCAATGCTGGACTGAATCCGGATTCACAATTGACGATTTCAAGCGCTATGGAATATTAAATTTCCTATTAAGGCCTTGTTCGTTTTTTAGTAAGTTACTTATCCGGGTAAGGTTTTTCTAGGAAACACTTACCCGGGTAAGTGTATTTACCCATGTTCTTTTATTTCTCAAGTAAATAAGGTAATGACCATTTTAGTCATAAAAATCCATTATTAAAATGAGTATTTTTGTCCCATTCAGGTGTTGGTTCACTTACTTGGATAAGTTATACCCAAGAAAAAAAACTTTTCTTAGAAATGAACATAGAATTCTTGGTCAATGAGAACCAAAATCCCATTGACCAACTTTCCCCCTTCTCAAAATCCAAAAAAAGAACCCTGCTATGTATCCAATCACCAGCTTGAAATTGCTTCCAATTCAAACAAACTATCCATGATTTCCATGTGCCAGGTGTTTTGCTAGCATTCCCATTTCTAGTGCTGCTATTCCAATAATCAATCCCTCAACCTGATTTACACAATCTCCGCCAATGCATATGATCGCCACCTTCCCTCTTTTAATATTTACTAAATAGAAGCACCAGATTATAATTTTTGTCGCTGGTGTTGGGGGCTTTCGAGTTCTGACCACGGCTACAACTTGGTCTAGTTTACCTAAAACATAACCTGAAATCTAAGGTTATGTTGGATCGGGTTTAAAAGTATGAAACCAAGTTAAGTTGGGTCAGAGTTGAGCCCTTGGTTAATCTTATATAAAAATGTATTTGTCAAAATTAAAATATTATATAAATATTTATCTATGCCTTACACATATCAGTATGTATGGATGTGTGTGAATATATATCTATGAAACTATGCATGCATAATGTATACAAGTCAACAAATTTCAGTTTAAAAACAATTTTTTTCTTAAGTATGATAACCATGCCCTTTTATATAATAATGTTAATATTTGATTGAACATGAGAAATAAGAACATCTAGCAAAAGTAGAGAAGTCAGGCCAACCCAATCCAATCCAAAAAACTTCAGGTTGGGGGTTCAACAGCTTAGGTTTGGTTAGAATTAAATCTTTACCTGAGCTAACCCCAACCGATTTGCACCCCTACTTTCGCCTCTAGCCACCTAGAACCTTAAAAATTAAAACTTCAAACTCCCCATAATTTTCTTGCACAATTAAGTTAAAAAAAACAAATAAAAATACACAGCTATTCAGGATAAATGGTCTAAATGAATGAAAATATGTACCGAGGATTTTGTTCGGAATCCATATCTCAAGATGATTTGAAAGCCTGGCCGATGAATAAGCCTCCAACCCTTTGTTTTTATAGACTATTGTAGTGTAAATTATGTAGTTTCAAGCTTTCAGATCATACAACCTCGAGGTAGCCATGAAAGTAATTGCTCATTTGCAAGGTTTTAAAAACTGATCTGGAAATGAAATCGTTCTAGCCACTGGTTTTTGAGTCAGTGGTTCAATTGTCCGAGTCAAACAGTTCGGACGGTTTGAATATTTTGACAGTGATGTCATATTACCCATTAGCGTGAAGGCTGCCGTGGCGACAGCGATGGTGAAAAACTGGAGTAGGTCTGAGATTTCTCAGATCTCTCTCTCTCTCTCTCTCTCTCTCTCTCTCTCAGATATGTCATATAGAGCCTACACTTCTCTCCCAGATATCTAAATGTGAGATTTCTCTCTGTCTCATTTCTCTCAATAGATCTCAGATGTGAGAGATTTTCCCTTTTCATTTTGTTGTGACAAGTTAATAAATTGCAAACCGTTCTCCAGGTTGAACGGTTCAACGGTCAAACCATCCAGGTCAACGATTCATTGACTAATTCAACAATTTTTTACTAGAGGTTGGCTTTGGGGTAAAATAGAACTGATCGCCTAAACAATTTCCAATGCAAACGGTCTGACCATCCGGGTCAATGATGGTTCGAAAACATTGCTCATTTGGTCCCGAGTCCCAACTGGTATGGGACAGAGATAACATTGGGTTAATTCGGAACGGCTTAACTGCAACCTTGGACATTCCGGCTAGAGAGAGACAAAACTCCCGAGTCCCACACTCCCATTGCTTAATTCTGAGTTTCAAATCTCCCACCGAAATCCTTCAAGTAGAGTGACAAACATATATTGATACGGCCGATGGGCATGTCGACCTATATTGAAACTGATTTTTCCTTTTTTTTGTTTTTTAAACCTGGTTCAGAAGGATCGATTTAAGACCTGTCTACCCCTTGAACCAGATTAAACCCCGAAACACCCCCTGTAGAGACATATCAGGAAACCTCGATACAACCCGATACATATCAAAATTTCAAACCTTGATCATTAATTACTTCCACTCATACGGTCATACCAATAAGGCGATACGATTTTCCAASYAGYGTTCCACAGCTCCAGAATAGTTTAAACACAACTCCAAGATAGCAGGATTCAGATGAGAAACATTGCAATTTCAACGGGAAAGTTCCACTTACCGTGCGAAGCAACTTAGGTGTCGTTTGGTTGCACTTTTTAGAGGTCTAAATCTGAAAAATGCTACTTTTCAGACCTCACCCCTTGTTTGGTTGTACCTCTTAAACTGAGTCTGAAATTGATTTTCAGATCTTAAAATCATAGACCTTGGACTGGTTCTTAGCGTGCTCAGATGCGTTTCAGAGCTAGCCCAATGTCCAAAATATCCTTACAATTTTTCATAAATGACCCGAGTTACCCTGATACCCACAAACCCAGAAAACCTAAACATTCGACCTCTCTCTCTCTCTCCCACCACCGCCACCGCCGCTGCAACAAGCAGCAATGGTGGTTCGGTACTTCGGTGAATAATAATAATGCTTTTATTAATTATTAACTATTTTTATTAATTATTTTAATATTTTTTATTAAACATTAATTATTTTTTATTAAATTTATTTGTATTAATTATTAATTATTTTTATTAACTACTAATTTTTAATTATTTCATTAATTTTTAAAATTATTTTAATTTTTATTTGTGTAAATTATTAATTAGTAATTATTAATTATTTTAATATTTTTATAATCATTAATTAGTTTTTTAATCGTTTCATTTATTAATTAATAATTAATAATTTTTTATTTTTAATTTGTATTGTTTCAATATCATTTTGAGGTTGAAAATCATTTTTTATGAGATAATGTAAATTGAATTCAATATTTCCAAATTGTATGTTTTAAGGGTAAAACAATAAAATCAATAAATTTCACATATTAAAAGGTTGATCCAACACAAACAAACTTATGAATTCAGATCCTCTAAAAAGTAGAAAAGCAACTATGCATCGTTTTAGACTTCAGACACATTTGATATCTTTTTAACTTTTCAGATCTGAATTTCCAGATTTATTAAACACCACCTTAGTCTGATTAATCAATCTGCACTACAGCTCCAGAATGCATGCAATTGAAAATGGAAAAGAAATAGGAAAGAGAATTGCAAGGATTTAGAAGTGCCAATTTACCAAAATATCACTGTTCCCGTGTTCCATCCAAATCCCCAACGCTGCAACAATCAAAATAGAAAAGAAACACCGTCCGAGGGTGGAATACAGCATAATAAGGGGAATCAAAGGCATTTTGGTCAGCGCAACATTTCTGTTCCTAACCCATCTAGCCAGCTCATATTTCAAATGTGAAGGGCTTTCAACTCCTTAAAGAATAATATCCAAATTAACCCTAATCCAGTCGGGCAATGCAACATTATGCTTTGTTTGGGGCATCCTCTCAGTCCCAATGTCTGCAAGGGTCACATCTTCCTTGAAATAAAAAAATAACTTCCGTTTGGAAACTACTAAACTAAATATGTTTTATAACAGTATTCATAAATTAAAAATTACTCTGAATTATAAGAGTTTTCAGCCGGAAGGATGTTATTTGGCACCAGATTAGTAGGGTCATAAATTTCATATAAATTAATATTGTTTTAAACATCAACAAGCATACAAATACATCATGGCTAACATTATTTGAAAGGGTTAATTTACTAAGTAAAAGAAACTGAAAGGGGGTAAAAAAAGTTACACTTCACTCAATTCAGAAAAGGAAAAAGAAAAAAAGAAAAAAAGAAAAAAAGAAAAAAAGAAAAAAAGAAAAAAAAGAAAAATTAAACCGTTGTTCAACAAATACCTAAAGATAAATCCTATGTAAAAGTAAGAAACCTGGTTTTCAACCTATCCGCATACCTGCAAAGGCAAACATCCTTAGTAAATCATAACCCCAGAAAGTAATTTGCAAGAGACGAAGAGAAGCATTAAAAGTAGTAACAATGCTTTCAAATAACACGATTAAACCAGTAAAACTGAACAAAAAGAAGGGGTGGACAAAAATGCAGAAAAACAGTGCAAAAAGATGACAGAAATATGAAGATGTCCGAAGTTAATATTAATTTTATAAGGCTTTACGTAGTACTCTTTCAAAAAATAAGTTGCAATATCAGAAATTTGTTGCATGAACATTTCTCGCAGTTTAAAATGTTGAGAAGCATTTTTTCTGATTTCAGAAAACTTGCATTGATAACAAAAAGGGTAAACACAGCCTCCTAAATGCCAAGGCAGATCACTGACCTAAGAAAAGAATAAAAAATTATGTATTTTGTACCCTCGCTTTTCATCTGGTTATCTAATGTCATATTCTATAACTCATGTAACGTATGTACTACAAAATTTATTTTCATCTTAAAAACTATCATTTTGGTAGTTGTAAAAACAAAAACTGTAATTTAAAACAAAACCAGCTTTTTTTCGCCTTTCAAAATAAAATACAGTTCAAGATTTTTTTTTCAGATATGGTAATTTTAAAAACAAATGAAAATACAAAACATTAATTCTGTAGAAAAGCCCCTAAATTACCAGATCTGAAAGTTGAATAGAATAAGTAGTACAAGCTAGATGCCAGGGATCTCTCTTCAATGAAATAGTTTTTAAGGGCAATAATAGGTCATGCATCCAATAACTATCTACAATAATGGAGTCTCTATAACCCATGAAGAATAACATTCCCCCCCCCTCCCTGACAATGAAGGTAAGAAATTGTACCACCAATAATAATCAAAAAGATGTTACCTCATTGAATGTCCAGATTTAATGAGCAGTCAGGGAAAATGGATGAAGCATCTTGTGACAATGGATGCCAGATTTTCTTWACAAACACCCACACACTACATGATTTTAGAAATATCTAAGTTGATGACTATCCTCTGCTGTGCTGATATTGGTGCCTGGATGAATATTTATTAACATGCAATATGGATAAATTTCTGTAGTAGATTTTCCTCATTTTTTCCTAGTGACTAAACAAAATAAAGCAGTTCAGAAATTACCACTTTAGTTACAAGGCAATACAATGAGACCAATATCTGTGGTCTCATTGTAACTATGTTAGGCAACACAAAGATGCAACTATGTTACCAGGATACACCAAGGACACAGCTGGACACAGTATTGGACATATGGCGATTATAATGAAAAAAGGTATTCAACACATGACCACATGAGAGCATTTTCTTGGTAAAAACAGCGATTTGAAAATGACCTCAAATGTTATTACCTGAGATGAGTTGAAGCAGCCAACGTTTGTGCATTAACAAGGAATCAACACTTTGTATGGTAGGGCTTCAAGCTTCAAGATTTAGGAACAGTCACATTCAAGATCTTTACGTCCTGATATGGCTTGTCAGTCTTGTCTGTTTTCACCTTTTCAATAGCCTGTTGAGAATTGTGGGAGTCATAAATAGATTGTGTATGTGTGCATGCCCATGCATGTATTAAGGTCACCTAATTAGCCCAATTAGGGTTTTCTTCCATGACCTACTTTATTTCTAGCTTGGATTATATGGCTGATCTTAACTTTCCACCGAATAGGGCCCTCTAAAGTAACATATACTAAATCCTTCAAGCCACATCAACCATGCATCCAGCTGTCCATAGTATCAATTTTTTTTTTTTTAACTCAGACTAGTGTAGAAGCCCGTGCGATGCACAGGTGAAAATGAATGAAAAAATAATAGTTAAAACTAYAAGTAAATTCATTAATGCAAATCAAATATGATAAAGAAAATACAATTTGGGATGAAAATATTGACTTGACCACAAGTTGGGAAGGACTTGGATTTAGGCCATTAGAAAGTGGTTTGATTGATATTTGACAATTTATGTATTTCTTTGCTATTACTTTGTCAGCTGTTTGTATGTGTTATCTACTATCCTTCATGCCCTTTTTTGTATTGTCTCTAATTTGCACTTTTAACTACTTCATCATAAAATATAAAGTGGGTTGTGTCATGCCGACACAACACGATTTTGCAGGTTGTCTATGCTTTAATAGGTTGTGCCATACAAACAYGTGGTCCTGGGTGGGTCGTGCCCTACTTGGCCAGAAACTCTTCAAAGGTTAGGCCTGCAGCACAAGCCCAGGTGGGCTCAGCCATAGGCCGGGGTGTAAGAGGCATGATTTTATATTAAAAATTTGAAAAGAATAATGAAAAGTTAAATAAATTAACAAAATAGACAAGAAATTGAAAAAAATCTTGAAATTTTATTCTATATGAACTTTGATGTATACAATTGTTTATATATGAAATAATAAAATTTGAATAAAATATTGATAAAAAATAAATAAAATAGTATAATATAATTGAATATATAGGACTGTTTCGTGATGGGTTGCGAGCCTATACCAGCATGGTACATTTTTTTGTTCTATATCGTGCTGATGCACGAGCCTCAAAACCCAAGCCCAACACAAATCAGGTGTATGGGCTAGCCCAATTGCTACCAGTGTTGGGTAATCCACTTTATAGTTTCACATTTATGAGAGATCAAATATTAGAATAGCAAAAAATGATAAAGGTAAAAATGAAAGGATGCAACTTTGGTTGATAGTCAATATGTTAATGGTTAGTATTCATTTTTATTGGAAAAAACTTTGTTTCATAGTGTACATCCCATTTAATGATAGGTTAGATAGACATTGGAATAACAGAAAACAAGAGGGTAAAAAGGGATCATGAGTCAATCCGATCCAAAGTCTAATCCTATTTTATCAGATTTGGACATCTTCATTATGGATTTTTGGATCGGATTGGATAATTGGATCTGATTAAAAACCAAATCGAATTCGGATCACCCCTATCCGATTCAAAAGGATCCAATATGTTATTTATATTCTATTTTTATAATTTTTTTATATTATTTATTTTTTATAAAAAACATGTATATATGATGAAAATAGTTGAAAAATACTTTCATTTTTTGTTTTCATTATTTATATTGTTATATTTTATTTTTTAATAATTTATTATTTAACAAAACTAAATCTGATTGGATCATATTTGAATATCCGACATCCTTATCGAATTCGAATCTAAATCAATATTTGTGAGATCCGATTGGATTGGATTGGGCCTAAAATTTATCAGATTGGGTTTGGATATACCTTGATTTGAATCCGATCTGATCCATTTGCATCCCAATAAAAGGGAAAGTGTAATAAGGCTTTTTGATGAAACATTGTAACCATCCTCATTTTTATTATAGATTATAAAAATATATAATGGTTATAGAGAAATTAGGGTACAATGGCTAAGGAGGGACAATAAGGCTCCATTTGTTTGCGATACAAACACCGAACCGGGGTACTTATGTACTCCACTTTGCGTTTGTGAGTGTTTGTTTGAAACGTAAAAAAATAACGATTATCAGAGCAAACCTGTATTTTCTAACAGTTTTGTACTCTAAGAAGAGAGCATTACTCTAAGAAGAATACAATTTTGTATTCTTTGGTAATTAAATTTTTTACCAAGGTTAATGCATTGGAGCATAAGATAGTTGGAGCATTTAATGATGGACCCACACTTTTGCACCAATTTCAAACAAACAAGATGAATGCAAAAACGGTTTAAAATGTGAACTAGGTTTGCATTCATGAACCGAAAAATGGATAAATATGTAGTGTACATATTTGCATTTGCATTGCAACCAAACACAATCTAATGAAAATATAAAATACTGTATATAATATTATAAAATACAATTGAAATAACAATGACTAAAGGGGGCAATAATAGAAATAGATATGTAATTGAAATAATAATGACTAAAGAAGGGTAATAATGAAAATAAATAATCGGATTACCCATCTACCATTCTCATTTTTATATATGATAATAAAAATAAATAAAAACATCCTATCTTTATTCTTCACTTGAATTGTTTGTGTCATAAAAATTAGGGTTTAATGATCGAGGGGCAATAGTGGAAATAGAAAATCAGGTCTTTTGACGTAAACCTAACCATTCTCATTTTTATAAATGGTACAGAAATGAGGATTTACTGTAGAAACATGGGAGGTTTTCAGCCTGATATTTGTTCCAAATCTAGAGAGTTTAAAAGGAATATGTGTGGTACCTCTGATCCCTAACCATCTGCCATGTTGACTAGCAGAAACACTTTTTGAAATAATTTCAGAGATATGAGAGATGACACACGCCAATAGCTTTGTAAGGAAAAATCACAATGCAAGAGCAAAATTACCTGTACAACATCCATCCCCTTTACAACTCTACCAAAGACCGTGTGCTTATTGTCAAGCCATGGTGTAGCTACAGTGGTAATAAAAAACTGAGATCCATTAGTGTTAGTCCCCGCATTTGCCATTGACACTGTGAAAGGTCTGTCATGCCGCAAACTGCAGAAGCAAAGGATAGTGGTGAATATAATGTAAATAACATGTAAACATGTCCATATGAATGCTAGAACTTGGTCAATAAATGGTAGTGGTAAGGTTGATAGTGGTACAACAGAATACAAATCATAAGTAGCACAAAGAATGCATAGCCAAACGATACAAATCATCTGAAAACGATAATATCCCTTTTGAAGATACTTGTCTTCTGATCTCTGTTAGACAGGTTACTTATCAAATGCAAGAGGAGTTGAGAACCAAAAGTCTACAAAAACTCAAAAATGCTTTTACAAGCTTCTTTATTTTCCCCCTTTTCCATAGCCTTTGGAATAAACATTATGTGAATAAAATGACCATTTCATACTTGCTAAACCATGCCCAATTTATCATACAATTTGCCAGCACAGTACAGACTAGTAAGTAGAAAGCGACACTAACCAACTTGTCTTAAGCAATAAAAGCTCCCTTTCATTGGCTTCATGAAGAAAAACTGCCTAAACCCATGTACCAGCTACACAACCTTGCAGTGACAGATTGAGAGCTCTAGTTTCTAAAGAGAGCCAAATTATTTATGTGTTTAGTCGTGACTATGCAACAAGAAAGATTGTTTTGGTGGTCTATGTTGATGGTGTTGTCATACAGGAGATCATATAGGTGGCATAAAATAAGAGCTTGAAGCCCAAGGCAGCAATTCCAGACTAAGGATCTTGGGAAGTAAAAATATTTCTTAGGCATTGAAGTGGCATGGTCAAAGCATAGTATCAACTTATCTCAAAGGAAATATGAGTCAAGTCTACTTGAAGAAACCGGGTTATTGGGTCAGTGTTGCATGCTATCCTAAATGGATGACAATTGACATGTCCATGTCAAACAAGAATTGGAGTCTGACACTCCACGGATTCTTGGGGAAACTTATATGTAAAATTTCCTTTCCATCTCCTAGCTTATTTGGCATACATGAACAACTAATGCACAAGATAAATGCCATTTTTCATATCAAACTTTGTTTGGTAACAAAAGCAACATTTTGTTGCAGGTATATAATTTGAATTCAAACAAACATGAACAATTTAAATAATATAACTTTTCCATTAACATCTCCATGAGGCCATGTTTTCTCATCTTGCTGAGTTAGATTCTTAGACACACATAGAATTCTGACTCCCATGTTCATGTCCATACAACATTAATTAGGAATATAAATTCCTATGGGTCCTAATACAAAGTTGAGTGTTGACCAAGAAGAGCTGTTTGAAAACCTAAGATGGTATATTAGGTTACTTGGAAAGATTATCTTACTATTACTAGATCCAATATTGCACTATTTGCAAGTGCGCTAAGTTGGTTTATGTAGGGCCTTCTTCCTTATTGGGAAGCAGTTATAAGAGTGTTGTGATATTAGAAAAGAGCACCAAGAGATGGGCTGTTGTATATGGTTGGTAAGAACTTGATTAGGACGTACAGATGTAGACTGGAGTTGATCATTATCTAATAAAAGGTACACAATGGGTTATTGTACATATTGTACATACATTCTTGGTAGGTAAACTAGTTGCCTAAAAGAACAAGAAGCAAAGTGTCGTTGCTAGAATTAGTGTAGAAGCAAAATGTCAAGTTATGGCTCATACTACATGTGAGTTGATGTGATTAAAAAACAAGACCTATGGAATTATTTTATCATAATCAGACTGCTACACAGACTGAATCCAATGCAATGTTTCATGACCAAGGAGCATTTATAACTCCTGGTGGAAATAGTAGCTACATCATAGCGTCATTTCTAACTCCCAAGGTGCATTTATCCACAGCATAGAAATGCTTGATGGATTGCTAAGCAAACTGAACTTAGAAAAAAGCCTTTGATCATGTAAGCTGGAGATTCCTAGATCATCTTCTTAAAAATCCACAGCATAGAACATTGGCAGCAAGTGGATAAGGTGGATCAATGGTATGCATCTCAAACACCCAAGTTCTTTATTCTTCTTAATGGCTCTCCAATGATGATCTTTAAAAGCTCGAGGGGGCTAAGGTAGGGAGACCCCATCTCCAGATTCTCTCCACTCTTTGTTTGTCTTATCAAGGCTTTGGCCGCTCTCACAAATAAAACTTTGGATGGTTTAAGATTGCATCTTGAGAAGAGCTCCCTGGTTCCAGTTAGCCAGGTTCCTACAAAACCTTGCAATGGTCCTTGGATGTAAGATTTCTTAGCTGTGAAACATCTACTTGGGACTGCCACTTGGATCTAAAAGTTCATCATGATACCTTTAGGACCGGGTGATAGAAAGATGCCATAAAAAGATTTCATCTTGGAAGGTAGGTATCTTTCCAAGGGTGCAAAATTAACTCTAATTAGAATACACTTTGTCAAGCTTCCCAGCCACTTCCTCCCACTCTTCCCTATTCTATCAAAGGTTGCAACCAGTATAGAAAAACTACTAAGAGACTTATAGAAAAGATGGAATGACGACAAGAAGATTTATCTTGTGGATTGGGCAAAAATCTACACTCCAAAGCAATCTGGGGTCTTGGCACAATACAAAATTAAGGAGGTCAATGTAGCTCTTCTAAGCAAGTGACACTGGAGATTCTCTGGTGAGCCTCATAGTCTTCCCTCACCACAACCAGAGCAATCTGGAAAGGCATTCAAAAGATCCAGCCACATTGCTTGTGGGCATCTCTCTTAAAGTGGGCAAAGGAACCAAGCTGAGATTTTGGCCAGATGCATGGTGTGGGGAAAAAGCACTATCTGATTTATATCCTGCCCTTTTTCACTTGGTCACAAACAGGGAGGCTATTGTTGCTGACATCTTGAGTTTAGAAGAAACCTTGGACTAAGAGATTGAGAAGCTTGCGGATATGCTCAGYCAGCTCCAGATCATTCAGCCTACATCTGACTGAAGATAGCATAATTTGGAGCTGGTAGGGAAGGGAGTATTTTTTTTATTGGAAACGGCAACTTCATTAAGCAAATTAAGAAATGTCAGTAAACCCCGAAAGTACTTATTACAATTCTGCCAAGAATAGGTTATCCCATACAAAGCTGTTTGGGCTCAGGATGTACCCTCCAAGGTGGCCTTCATTATCTGGACTGCAGCCTTAGGCAAATGCATACCAAAGACTGATCAGGAGAAGTATCTCCATTTCTTCGGCTGACTTCCCCTTATAGGCAGTTTTAAGTTGCTGCACTTTGGACCATCTGGATGGAGAGGAATAGCAGATTTTTGAAAACAAGTCCTCTCAAACGGATGAGATTATCTACAATGACTGCTAAGATCTTCTCATGGGCTAAAGCTATCAACATTTTTTCAGACTCTTTTTTGTAATGGTAACTAGTGTACTTTTTGAAATTTTGTGATTATCATACCATGTACAATTACACTGTTCAGAGTTTCTCCCTCCCATTTCAGCAATACAAATATACTAAAAACTACACCCTATGTTAAGTTTGAGGACCAACTTGCAGGTTTGTTTACTAAGGTCTAAGGATAGAAAAATGGATTGCATTTACACCAAGCTGGAGCTGTATGACATATACTAATGTTAAAGTGTATAAACTCAAATAGATGTGGGGTATTTCTGTCCCCTTTTATAACTTAAGCAGGGGAACATGTAATTTTCATGTATTTAAAAGAGTATAAATACCATCTGCCTACTAGGTGGGGTTACATTCTCCACCGAACAGGTTCCACTCTAGATACAATTATTCCACTCCTCTTCTCTGTTGTGTTACCACTTTAACTCTCAATCATATTCACACAATCATTTCTGTAAATGCATTTTTCTTTTTCTTTTTTTTTTGGCTTCATGGGGCTACACAACCGGCGGGGGGCAGCCCATCCCCCTCCCTTAACCCCCAACCCTGGCAGCAGCAGGACTTGATCCCAGGTCTCTACTCCAATGAGTCAGAGATCCTACCAACTGAGCCACCATCAATTGGTTTAAATGCATATTTCTTATTTACTATAATAGCAGGACAGAGTTCAGAAAGCAGAAAAGTGTGTTACTCTAGTACAAAAGCAAAAAACAAAGGCTGCATTAACATACTGCATTACATTAATTTTTTTCAAAACTCTTACCTTTTATGGAACTCATCTTCAAACTCCCTTCCCCAGATAGATTGGCCACCAGTGCCATCTCCCAAAGGATCCCCTGTCTGTATCATGAAGCCCTTGATGACTCGGTGGAAGATGAGATTATCGTAATACCCATTCCGGCAGTGGGTTGTGAAATTTTCCACAGTTTTAGGGCATTCTTCTGGGTACAGTCTCATATGGATATCACCCAATGTTGTGTGCAATATCTGACAAAATAAGGGAAAGAAAACACGAGAGAGAGAGAGAGAGAGAGAGAGAGAGGGAGAGAGAGGATAAATGCAGTCAGTAGATTCTGTTAAGAGGCCAGAAGTACCAAAAGAACTTACCAATGGTTGATCATAGAAAACTCACCACATTGTCTGGAAGAGATGTTGTCACAGATTTTCCTATATCTGAAACAGCCAAAAGTTCATCAGGAGGAGGCTTTTCATTAAATACATCCCTTCCCTTAGTTGCATCTTCAGGCTCCTCTGGTTCCCTACGACTGTTAAAAACAGAATAACAACATCAGGAATCTGAAAATTGTCAGATAATGTAGAAGAGTTTTAGTACCTGAAGAAATAAATCCTGTGCTTCTTGAAAGCACAACAAACGAGAGTAGGATCTGTCAAAGGCTCTTTGCTCTCATTAACATTTGATGCAGCCCCAGGAATTTTCCTAACTTTTTTGTTGCTTCTGTCACCTTGATATAGAGCAATTCTCAAGAACCTATCATTGTTCTCTACTTTTCCTAGAATCCGGGTAACCTTATTGGTATGTAAATTTACAATCTGTAAAAATAACACGATAAAAGATCATTTGGTTAGGTACTGGCGCTAAATGGAATAAACAAGTAGCATAAGTTAAATTTACTGCTCATAAAGGCAATGGAAGTCAATTAAATAGCTTTTAGCAAATCATATTTATCAAAAAGCTGTGCATTTGAAGAATCCACCTCGATTTTAAACTAAAATGGAAGCTCTATGAAGTGCATCTGCTTATGTGTAGAGGCCATTATAGCCCCCAGAAACACATGAAGAAAACTTCCAACCAAGATGCAAGACTACAAATTGAATTTATGGCAGCTGCATGTTGAGTTGCCCAACTTGAACTTCAACTACATCAGGCTCAGGTTAGGGCTTGGACTCATTGACAATTTTGATAAATTCCCACTCAACCCAACCCAAGTTCCATCCCTAATCAAAATCAAAACATGATAGGAAACTCACACTCCAATCTACCAACTAATTCCTACACAACAAAATTCTGAATCTTCAACCCATCAGAATGCACCTATAAACATAATTTAGCACCAGAAAGACTAAAAAAGACGACCAACTAAATGAAATGATATCCCCAAAATAAACCTACTCTTACTGATTCGAAATGCCAAGCTAAAATCAACAACCAATTATCTGGCTTCCACTTTCCCTAAAACAACACAATGTGTGGAAAGTCATTGTTGAGCTTGCCTTTATGCCAAGTAATGTTGCATATATAATGAAATTTGAGCTTTCATCAAATATTGCATTTGGTTGTGGCACATTTTCTGTTTTTTCAATTTCCTTCTCAATAGCCATTCTTCGTCCAAAATCAATTGCTTCTAGACGATAGAGAGGAGCATCACTTCTCTGTAGATCCTGGGCCACCTAATCAACAGAAGATAGAGAATTCCCGCAATGAGCTTCCAAAAGCACTACTACCCTGAAGCGATTGACATTACAAGGAAATAAAAATTACCTCAAGAGATTCATCATAAACCCGTCTTAGTTTACCCGTTCTAAACCAAAAGATACGTATTCTTCGATCAGGGGATGTAATGGCAAATTGGTTGCCATCTGGACTAACCTGAAATTAAAAATAAAATAAGGTTTAAATGCAAGTGGTAAGGTAAGGAAAAAAAGTTTACAGATGGACTTTGTTTGCAACTAAAAAGAGCAAGAGATGGTGAAAGAAGATGCTAATCGAACATAAATTTCTTTTTAAGATAGAAAATTTTGTACCTCAATTGCAGATGCAGTTGTTTTGCATTTTATAATTTCAAAGAGATTAGTATCACTTTTCAACCGGAAGCTCACCCTGCAAGCAATAATTGGCATGTCATCGTAAGGAAGTATTTAGTCATATCAATGACTGATCATGTCATTGAATTAGTAAATAACACTTTCCATGAAACTTGTTTATTTACTCTAGAACTGCAACACAACACCAACATTTTCAAGGGAAATGCTAACTGATGCATCCTACTTTTGCAACCAATGAGTGCACTGGTGTTTTAAAAGCGCAAGGCGCAAAAAAGGCGTAAGGGCCAATTTGCACCTGAGGCGAGAGGCGCAAGGCGCGCACCTTTTTGAAGCAAGGCACAAAAATACAAAAAAAAAAGCTAAAAAATCAAAAACAATGTCAGAAAAATCAATAAAAATGGCAAAAAAATTCAAAAATGCAAAAAAATATTAAACATAATATTAATAAGAAATATAAACTTAATTTTTAAAAGTAATGGTTTTAAAAAACCTATTATCTAAAATTAAAATACATAAACATTCATAAAAAAAAAATTAAAATACATAAACATAACATGTAAAGCATATTCAAATGTAAAGCCCATAATCTCTTTTTTTTTATAATTGAAATAATTTTATTAATCAGCAATAGACAATAGTACAAAGTCCCCAAGGAAAGGCACGAGATGCATCCTCTCTGGGCTAGTTAAGTACAGATTTCCAAATTAATAACAACTTACAAAGAAGCACAAAAAAGATCTTCCCTAGAAACCCCCTGTTTGGCTAAAGCATCAGCCAAAGAATTAGCAGACCTACTAACCCATTTTACCTCAACTCTCATATTGTTGGTTAACCACTTTACTTTTTTTATGAGATCTTTGTAGCCCCAAATGGTAGTATCCAAGATTAGGAGCCACCTTGTTACCACCTGAGAGTCCCCTTCAACTAGGAGATGCTCCACCCCAAGCTGGTTGGCGATCTGAATTCCTTGTACTGCAGCAAGGATTTCTGCCCTTGTAGAATCCCCCACTCCCACCGGTCCTGAGAATAGGAAAATTATGTTGTTTTCCTTATTTCTCAGGATACCCCCTATACCTGAAGGTCTGGGGTTGCCTTGGCTGATTCCATCAAAGTTCAGCTTGATGACACCTTCCAAAGGTGAAACCCATTCTGACAGAATTCTATCCTTCTTTGTTGAAGTGTTAGTTATTACTAGCCAATTCCTCCACAACTCGTCAAAGGAAAAGTCATCAAAGATATCCACAATTTTCAGCCAATGGATTGCTCTTGTTAGGATACAATCCTTCATTTTATCTAACCCTCTTTCCTTCTCTAAGCAAAATTCTTGCATTCCTTTCCTCCCAAAGAGTCCATAGAGTGGCTACCCTGACACATTTCCACATGACCTTACCTCTTCTAGTGTGCCAAACAAAGATAGATGGGTTGAATAACAAGCTTAAATCAGAAGGCATAGACCACCTACCTCCAAATAAACAAAG